TCAATGGCTGACACAAACAGCAAATATAAAGTTGTGATGGTGGGGGATTATGGCACAGGTATGTTTTGATTATAATTCGATTATCAAACTTTATAAACTATGGATTACCCAACTTGTCTTCTTATATAAAGGGAATTTGTAATTACTCATTCTTAGGTAAAACCTGCATGCTCATCAGACTCTCTCAAAACTTTTTCGACACTCAGCATAATGCAACAATTGGTGCTTCGTTTTTGAAGCAAGTGATGTTTGCTTTTTGCGCTTTACTTATAATTGCGATTCTAGTAGTGGACCTTCAATTTTTAATTTGGAATTAACGTACAGTGAGACACCAAATGGTAAGGTCGAGTTAAACTTGTGGGATACTTCTGGAGACGAAAGATTTAGAAGTGTGATGCCAGTGTACTTCCGAGGTGCTACAAGCGCAATAATTGTCTATGATGTGACTCGCCGCGATACTTTTGAGAGTTTGGATTACTGGATTGACTTGACCAAGAAAAGTGGGAGCGAAGATATTTCGATTGTTCTTGTTGCAGCCAAATGTGATCTTGAGAAAGTAGTTTCTGATGATGAAGGGAAAAGGTATGCTGAAAAAGTTGGGTATCCCCTTGTTTTGTGTTCCTCATACAGCGGACAAGGTATCAGTGAAGTCTTCCAAAAAGCTGCTCTTGCTAAAGGAAAGGTTAATCAAACTGGAGGGGCTACAATTGGAGGTCCAAATGACAATAAAAAAGAAGGATGCTGCTAATTTGGATTTTGTTTTATCGTTGCTTGTATTGTTTCCTTTTTAACTTTCAATTCTATAAAAAGAAAATTTAAACTAAAAAATGGGATGAAGTCGACAGCGAACAACACACATCAAGGTACTCAAGTTTTTATTGTTTGTTTTAGACTTGATTGACGCTTTTAATCATCTGATTGATTTCAAACTCTATTAACAACAAGCCTTGCCTCACTATTGGAAATGTTGGTCAACTATGTGCAGACTTACTAATAAATACTTTTTCACTCCCAGAGTCTTCACATTTACAAGACGACGCACTCTTACCCTATGTAGCCCCTCCGGTATACGACCACATTCAAACCCCAACAACAGCAATGTCACTCTACTCAGATGAAAAGTTGTCTGTTTTCCAAATTCGGTCGACTGTTGTGCAGTCGCTTTTCAAAAACTTTTGTGATGACTTGGCCAATTATGTTCAAAAAATGGCGCCTTCACACGTCTTTTTGCTTCACTCAAACTCAAAGGGTAACTTAGGTGAAGTTTTTCTTTCACAAGAAACTGTTTTAGAGAAATCACCGATTGCATCTTATTTCTATAAAAAGCTCTCCGAAAAGGGTTTGAAAGTCTCAATTATCAACTCGGTGTGTTATGACGGAGATACACGAAATGATGCGTTGAAAATGTTCAAGACGGTTTTAGAGATCCTCAAAGAGGAAGTTCCTTTGAAGGAAGTGAAGTCGTGGAACACCTCAACATTGTGGGGAGATCTTAAAGCGGAGACTCAAGCAGCAATGTTCTAATTATCTTTTCCCACATCCTTTCCGTTGTATTTACAAAACAAAAAACGCCTAAAAAATAGTTTCATAATAGTTTGACAAAGCAACACACAGCACTACGCCCACTGCAACGCGACGATGTGCTCGACTGAGAAAGTGCTTGGAAAATGTGTCCCGACAATTTCGTCCACGTTTTCAACATTGTCATAGAACATATCCATTTTATTTGAAATAAACGAATTTCTCACAGACCCAATGTAAAATCCACAGTGTGTACCACACACCCATTCGGAATTTTCGTTGCTATATATTTTAAAACTGTAGAGCTTATCCTTTTTTGTGTACTTCTTTGGTTTCTCCCCATCCTTCCCGACAAGTGAAAACATAAAG